CAAGCCGCACCTCCATCTCCTACCGACCAACCTCATCCCGCCCCCTTGACCTGTCCGTCCTCCCTGGACTGACCTATCCCCTTCCTAACTCCCTACCTACACTCACCTCTCCCAGTGTAGCCTCCAGTTGGATGGTATCACCATCGGGTACTGCAGAGAGCTAGCCCCAGAAAAGGGAGTGCCCAGAAACTGGGCTAAGTGGTAAACTGAGAGAGATGGGAGCTGGCTTGAGGTGAGTTGAGGTGGTGGTGGTGGTGGTGGTGGTGGGAGGAGGGGTGATGGTAGATGACAGGGAGAAATGGAGGAGGAGAGGACTGGAGATTGAGTGAGCAGAATCTGGAAGATAGGGGTGAGAGAGTGACGGTGAATTGGGACTCTGAGAAGATTGAGTCAAGGTGTTGGAAAATGGGATCAAGGAATGAAGCGAAAGAGTGGCAGGCTAATTGTGATCAAAAGGAAGATGGTACAGGGTGAGAGACCGGGGAATGGGAATTGGGATTAATGCCTATTGGCGAAGCAGGGAGACTGGGCACTGGGGCAAGCTTGGAACATTTTTGGGCAGACAGAGAGAAACTATTACAGGGGATCAGGAGACTAGCACTTTGGTGCTTGGAGTAAACTAATGAATTTATTGTTTTGGCTTCTAGCACCCTATGGCCAACATGTTCCAGGACACTCTCTGTGTGAAAAAAAAGTTCTACCTTATGTTCTGTTTGTATTTTTTCACCCAATCTGTGTCCCCTAATTCTTGTAGCATCACCTAATGGGAACAGTTTTTCCTTATCTACCGTATTTAAACTTGTCACAATATTGAACATCTATTATATCTCTCCTAAATCTTCCTTGCTTGAAACAGATGAATCCTAACGTTTGCAACCTAGCCTGTAATTTAAATCTCCCACCCCAGCACCATTCCGATAAATCTCCTCTATAAGCTTTCAGGGACTAAAAGGTGGTGATCAGAATTGAATGCAGTACTTTTGTTGGGGGCTAACCACAACTTTATAAACGTTGTTCTTAACTTGCCTGCTTTTCTACTCAATGTCCTTCTCACGAAGCCTAAGATTCCAGAGTGTAGTCACTGTTGTAGTAAACAACAGTCAAATGACGAAACAGTAAAATCACATAAATGGCAATTAAATAAGGAGCAGATTATGTTATTAACCATTTTGATTGAGTGACAAGCATTGGCCAGTACACTGGTAAAAATCAAATTTACCTTGTTTAGTTTCAATCAGGAAGTCTTGTGGTGAAGTGGTAGCACCCCTGCCTCTGAGTGAGAAGCTTTAAGTTCAGGTCCCAACTCAGGACTTAATAGCCAAAGAAAGTGCATTCATAATATGACCAGTCAGGCTGAGTATCAAATTGTAAACCTATCCAAAATATGACAATAGCAGGTTGAAAGAGCAAAAGAAATTCCTGGTCAATCATGTGATTGAAAGAAACCCACTCCTATTTGTACAACATGCAAGTGAAAGTGTTTAGAATCATACCGTACAGAAGAGGCCCTTCAGACCATCAAGTCTGTATTGTCAAAAATACAGTAAATCTACATGTCCCACTTTCCAATAGGAGGCCCATAGTGCTATGTATATAGTTTGGGGTGCATTCTGCCCCTTTAAGAAAGCAGGTCAGGTGACTCAGAGGGGAAGCTTTGGGTCAGTGTAGGTTTGACTGTTCAGCTGTAAAGACGTGTGATAAATTGTTCCCGACCTACAACGTGTTTTTTTCTTATCATTTATAAAATGACTTAAACATAATAACTGGCGACAAGTCTGATTCAAGGCCCAAGAACTGTGCTATCGTCATTTGCAGAAGGAAGGGAGGAGATCACATGTCCCCAGACCTTGGTAACGGCATGAGATTGTGGAAGTAGCGCGAGAGACTTACTTGGAGACAGACCAAAATGTCAAGGGAACTGGTCGACAGGGGACACACACTGTAGCAAATTGCTGAAAAGGGGAGTACTCACCCAGGAGCTTACTGAAATCATCATGGAGAGCATTCACTGAGGGTCCTCAGGCTACTGGCTACCTAGACTCAAGTGCCGGGAAAATTCCTGCTGGTGGGAAAACAAAATAGTGGCCCAATTTGGAACAATGGGATCATTTGACATAGAGACAGAAAGTTAGATTCTGTGCAGCAAACATTCTAATACTTACTTCAAGGCAAACATAGTGGCTGAAGACATAAGTGTACATCAGGTCTTCTTGAGCACCATTGGGAGTAAGATCTTTACAATTCTAGGGAATGTGGTGCAACCAGAGAAACCAAGGGAGAAGACAGAACAAGAACTGTATGTCACTTTGCATCAAAGTCACTGATGATTGCGGTACATTTCCGTTTTAATAAATATGTACAACAGGAAGGGGAGTCCATTACCCAATTTTCTTAAAGAGGTTAGCGGGACATTGCGAATTCGGAGGGTTCCTCCAGGATGCATCGAGGGATCATTTGGTTTGTGGTCTCCGGCATGAAGCCATTGAACAGAAGCTACTAACAAAGAGAGACCTGGATTTCAAGGCAGCTTTTGGAATCAGTACCTTGATGGAGAAGGCAGTCAGTGAAGCAAGTCCAAAGTAGTGGAAGTTCAGCAGACCGCGATACCAATCACAGAATGCCACTGAAGTGGCAAGTTTGGCCATAAGGAGTCAAGAAGCCAAGTGCTGAAAATGTAAGGAAGTGGGCTATATTGCCCAAGATTGCTGTTTACGACCCAAATAAGAGGAGGGGAGTTGAAAAGAAACAATCCTGAGGACAAGGCATGAGGGACATGTCACCAGCCACAGCCAGCAGAGCTTCGGTTAAACATCCTGTCAGTACATGGTGAAGCTGATCATCTCTGGGTTCCTCCCAAACTAGGGAGAAAGACAGTTAAAATGGAAGTGGATGTAGGTGCAGCAATGTCTTTGATTCCCAAATCAGTCTATAAGGAGAGGTTAAGGGCACTACCATTGCCGCCTGCCAGAGTTACTCTACGGGCCTACATGGAACAAGTGGTGCCACTGAAGGGCTATGTACTGGTGAAGGGACCAGTGTGGTCTATACATGGTAAAAGGCAAATGCCCCACATTATTCGGATGCTCCTGGTTACAAAAATTAAAGTTGAGTTAGGGGCCGTGTTAACAGGCTGGTAGATTCAAACAAATCTTGGGCAGGTACAAAGATGTCTTCAAGGGTACCCTAGGGGAAATGAAAGAAGTTGAAATTTAAATAATGCTGAAGTCAGAGGCTCGTCTTAGGAATCTGAAGGCACACCTGGTACTGTATGCCATTCGGTCTAAAGTGGAGGCAGAACTGGAACGGCTGCTTAATTTGGGAGCATTGGCTATGAATCTGGGAGCAAAATCTTCCATAAGGATATTGG